AACAATTATTTTACGATGTAAATAACTTTTAACAAATGATAAACCAAATGTTTGTATATACGTTCGTGGGGATGTAAATTCGTGGGTCAAGGTTACCCACGAAAGCCACGAACATTGGTCCCCCACGAACAATGATGATTCCACAGTATTAGTTTCGTTGGGTAAGGGAGGTTCCAGTTTTTACTGCGTTGGATTTCCGGAATTTTACATTGCTTTTTTCGACACTTCATAATTCTTTTCTAACATTAATTATTTTCATTCTGGATTTTTACTCTATATTTCAAGCAATTTAAAGTTAACAAAGAAGATGGAATCATCATTTCAATAGAATATATTTGGTTAAATTAACACAAGTGAACTTGTGATGAAAATTTATTAAACGCAAAACAAACAATTAAAAGTTAAAGTTTGTATTTTGAAAAATAAATCAAATCAAATCACAGAAAACAAAGACAGGTTGAAAAGCTCACACACAGACACACACACAAACGTTTTGGTAACTCGGGACAGTCCACAGTAAAACTGTATTTCTTGATGATGGAGTGAGTGTCCAGTACATGTTCACTTCCTGGATAGTCCACGGCGGATTTAAAAACTCTCTCACAACATACGGGATTCACTCAAATTTCAATTAACACATTGTCACTGAGTGACAAATTCCTTTTTGACTATTAAAATTCAAATTGATAGGTTAATAATTAACTTAAGCATTTGTCAAAAATAAGGATTAAAAATAATTATTTTCATAAAATTATATTTTGTTTAAACAATATAAATCACTAGCAGTGCAAAGACAGACTATAAAAAAAATCAGAAGTGGCCATCAGGCGAATTTTATTAAATCCTTTCAGAGCTCCAGATAAGGTGCGTATTTGCAGAAATACGCATATATTTTTACAAAATACGCATTGAAAATTAAAATAGAGCGTACAATTATGCATTAACAATCATAGACACGCATTACACCAAGAAAGTTAGTACTGTGTACAACAAGTTGAAGAATACAGGAATGACTTAATAATAAGAATAAAGGTTAACTCAGTGTTTGATTTTTCTCAAAACGAAGTACAGATTTAAAAGCCTTTAGTGACCAGGAATATTCCATTTGGGGAGGAAGAATCGGAGATTTAGATTAAAATCAATTTCTATTTAGAAAGACTATGCACTAGGGATTACTTTTTTTATTATGCGGCTGTAGAACTTCCATGGAACTCCATGGATATACCATGAAAATCCATGGAAAAAAGTGTCCATGGAAAAAACCTGGAGTATTTGGACTCCTTGTCCAGGGAATAATTTGATAAAATAAGGGTGGAAAATAACTAGAAAATGTCCATGGCAATATAGCAAAATATTCCATGGACACTTTCCATGGACACTTGTCCATGGAATTTATGGACACTTGTCCATGAATTTGACTAGATATTCCATGGCATTTCCCTGGCAGTTTTTCCATGGACAGTCCATGGAACTAGTCTGGAAATCAGTACATGAAAAATTTTGTTTGACATTCTGCTAGGTGACGGGCAAATATCCTTACTTGACAAAAGTTCCAATGTACATAAATACCAGTATTGTCTAAAAATCATACAAATCTTCTGCAACAATAAAAAAAAAACTAAAAACATGTAAGTGATGTATTCATGTATTCTTAAATTTTAAAGAAATTCAATTATCTGTACAATATTTTCCCCCAAAACATCAATATGCCAAATCTGAGTTTTATCGAAATAAAAAGTGAGCTTATATCCCAGCCTTCCACCTCCATTACTTGACAATCCTACACATAATGAATGAATAGGTTTAAATGCATTAATTTGACTTTAAGATAAGCAAAACTCCTAAAAATCATTACATTAAATTTTACAAACTGTTCTTTACATGTACTACATAACTTCTTGTGGTCATTTACATTTGCACCAAGGTTGTGCACTGACCTTATAAGTCACTTTCAGGAAGGCTTCAGTATGTCCCAAATTTTATCACAAACTTGCTATGCTGTAACAGCATATTTCTCAGCATAAAATACACAAAAAGTGATTTGATTTTAACATGAGCATAACTCAAAAAAAATCATTACATCCAAATTTCCTACAAGGATGCTTTTATACACTTCTGTCTTTAACAACAACAACAAAATGTGTCCTAAATACCTACCAAATTCTGTACAATGGTTTAAGAGCTTACAAACTGTTCTTTACATGTGTATAATACAACTTCTTGCTAGTTGAGATCAACACAGGCGAGTACAAAGGGAAGTACACAACTTGTCAAAAAAGTCTCTATTTCGGGAAGGCTTCTGTATGTCCATAATTTTGTCACGAACTTGCACTGCTGCAACGGAATATTTCTCAGCCATGATTTCTGCAGAAAGAAAATAAATAGCATTCAGGGTAAAAAACAATAGAGTGTTTATTTTTTAAACTTCTCATAAAAAAAAACCAAGAGATTATTTCAAAGTGAAAAGGGTTATAAAAAATAACTCTGTCCATTAAATGGTCCGAACAAATTAATATAGAAAAGTTAAAACTTGACCTTTTAGAAAAAAACATTTACTTACATTAAATATTCAAAAATAATAACTGAAATTTCAACTTTTGTTTACTTTAAAACAATATAGGACTGCAAATGGGAATTTATTATGAACAAAAACAGCAAATTATTCTTTTCCAAGTCCAAGGGGCATGTGTAGCCTTTAAAATAGATATTTTTATGATTTTGTATACCAAATTTCATTTCGATATGTTTAATATGCCCTCCCTTCTTAAAAATGGGTGGGGGGGGGGGGGGGCATAAAAAACAATAGAGTTCTTCTTTTTAACAATTTAATTATTTCAAAGTGAAATGAAAACATAGGTATGAAATTCAACTTACCTTTGTGTAGCCTTTATATGTTTTCTCTTTAAGAACTTGTGGCTTCTAACAAAAATATAAGTGTAATTAAAAATCTTGTTGAACAAGTATTTAGATTGTTTGAAGGATAACGAGAGATTTCATCTACCTGCAATTAACCAGAAACGATTACTTTGTATGAAAGTATGTTTTCATCATCATGACTTTAATATTAGAATTATTTGCCTACATACCCTTTCCTTTCGAGCAACAAGTCTTGTTTGCTTTCCTCTTTCGCTGTGGTGTTGCCTGTCTGCAAGTAGAAAATGCCTCATCAAAGTATGTGCTAAGATTTCAAGCATCTGTAACAAGTAGTTGCTGAGAAAACTGTGATGAAAATTATTGTTTTGTTGCTACAGACAGATCAACAGGAATTTGACATCGGATTTGAACAAAAAAGAATTCCACCATATGGCCAGAAAAGATCGTTTTTAAAATTTCAAGCATCTTCATTCAATTAGTAGTTGCTGGGAAAACAGTGACGAAAAATTTGTTATGTACAAACAGACACACACAAGAATTTCTCCACTTTCTAGCATTGGTTAATCAACCATCTTTCACTCCCTAATTCTAGACACATTCTGTAGCCAATATCTATATTTAGCCACCTCCCAACCATTTAAAGTTGTCTCTGTATCCAAGAAATTCGCTTCAAGTGAAATTTCAGTAATGTAACAAATAATTTCAATCAAGCGAGTTTATCACTTGTAGAGACGACTATAAAGGATATATAAGGTAGTCTAGATGGATAAAATATATAGATTAGTTAAAAAATGTGCCTAGAATTCATAGGGAGTGAAGGGTGGTTAATTGACCGATGCTGGAAAGTGGAGAAATTCTCCCGCAAAGTGTGCGAAAAATATTACACCATAAATTGCACCTTTTACTGCATTTCGGAATCTGTAGCGTTATGGTCAAAGACAAATATATAAAACCATAACACTACAGATCTGAAGGTATATTATGACACAATAGAGGTACGTTTAACAGTTAAAGTTCAAGACGTGTAATTAATAGCAATTTATTGTATATTTTGCAAAGAACACTTTGATTACTTGATCACTTACTATTCAAATTCAACCTAACTTGTTTTGGACGCCATTTTGTTTTCATTTTTTGAAATTTTATTGTAAAGTAAAAATAAAAGTGTTATTACACAGGCACCAGATGTTACTTATTTTTTTGAAATAAAAAAATATATACATACCTAATAATAATTAGGTATGGGTATATTTTTCTATTAAAAGAAAAATAAGTAACGTCAGGTGCCTGTGTGTTGTTATGATAGTCACCACTAAAATTTTTGATTGAAAATTGTCACAGAGGGCAGAATTTCGATGACAATCGACAGAAAATTTAAAAATTATAGATAGTTGCTTTTTTTCCGAAATGTATTTTTTGAACAAAAATGGTTTATCTGAGAACTATATCAAATCAGCTGACTCAATTTTTACCAATGTTAATTGTAACTTTATTTAATTTAGTCACTTTTGAGTTTAAAAACATATCTGTACAGTAGCTCTGAAAACGGATGTTGTGACGTCATACACCGAAAGAGGAGGCCGATTTTCACATTTATCAACACTGAAGTATATTAAAGTTTAGTTTATCTATCTTTTAATATTGAGAAATAATATATAATGTCTCCACTTTCACTTAGTCTGAAGTTGCACTTTGTAGTCTAGAACTTGTAAGGCTATTTCTAATCACTATTGACATACATACGTACCATCCGAGATCCGAGCTTTGCCAAATGTTGCAATGATGAATTCCCCCTCTATATGATGATATTTTATCGGTTTTCTAGTAAGTTCTTTAACGTTCTAAAAGTTAATGCTGACGAATTTGTCTTCCCAATGGACGACAGCGTCCTTCTGTTGCTCGAAATGGCGCGGTTTGGAAACTTTGGCCAATCGGATCGGTTGATACAAATTCTGACCAATGAGACCTTGTCTATTATATGATCACTAGAAAGAATCCAGTCAATTCGTAACTGATTCGTGTAATTTTTTTTAATTGTTATATTATGAATTTTTCTACAGTAAAACGTATATACAATTGAAATAAAATTGTTTGATTATTTATACAGACAAAATAAAGCTTTGTGTACGAACTGAATTATCATATTTTTTACTTGTTCACAAAACATAAAACATTGACTTACTTTGTTTCCGAATCGGTTTATGTACGAGTTGTCTCAAGGAAATCTGATACACATGAACGTTTGAAATTGCACACAGATGTACCAAAACGTAAACATTTGAAAAACACTGAATAATGAACTAGCGGGAAGAAGTTTGCATCGACATGATCATCAACAATTAAGGTAAGTTTTAGCAATGAATGTCATAAATCCGCATCAATATACTTAAAAAGGAATATCTTTTGGAAAGAAAGTTTTTTTTCTGCAAACCTACAGTTTGTTAGATCGATCCCCATGAAGTTAACTGAACTTCTGAGGGTCGAGGGATCAATCCCCTAAACAATAAACATTACAATGGGCATACAGAAAAAAAGAATGTCAACCAAAAGTTATTCCTTCATTAGTGTCTTGATGCTGATTTATGATATTTTTAATCAAAACAAAAATATCTTTTTTTATACTGTAAATTTATATTCCACTTGCACTTGAGATATACTGTATCACAATCGGACAACTATTTGGGCAAGTGGTCCCAACCTGCAGATGTATTCCACTCTGCTTAGCCAATAATTTAAGCTGTTGGAGAGTTTAACTCTGATTTTGTACATAAACATTGGATATGTTTTTTTGTTTTCTGAGCATCATAGGCCCAAGAAGTCAAGCTTAACCCTGTTACACTGAAAGGGAAACTAGATTATGTTTTTAATTGACTTACTTTGGTATTAAATAAATATTGTTCTGTAATTTTAACATTTTCTTACTTACAGAAATGGACTTGTCAATGATGTGTGAGAAGGACGGGGTTGTGGATGTCCCCACAGAATCTTTGTAAAAAAATTGCTCTGGAGAAAACAAAACTTGATTCTTCACATTGAAAGTTTCCATCCAGAAATTGACCTTGGTAATTTTTTTGTCAGTCTAGCAAAGTATGAAGAAGGAAAACAACCATAACGCAGGTGACATTTGGTGCGTCTAGACTCTGACGTCACATGACGTCGTATGTAAGTTGCAATACCAAGAAAAAGCCTGAACAGTGCTGAAAGTTAATGAATAACATTTTGTTTTCTATTTATCTTCAATATATATCCATTAAATCAAGGCGAGTAAACTTTTTTTTGACCATTTGCCGTTATTCTCGCGAGAACATAGCTAAAACAAGTGATGCATTGTGGGTCCAAATTACTGCATCAAAATTTCTATCGAATGAATGTGCAGTAGTCCGAATTTTCTCTTTGCACAGACATTGCTGTAAGAGCTTGCAATGACGAGCGTTGCTTCGCGACGCTCGCTGCGCTCGCTATTAACCTTTAGGATCACAAGACAATGCAAGATTTTGTGTAGCTGTAAATCTGGTACATGTGTCTATGTAGTTCAATCTCTTGTTGTATCATATTTGTTTCAGTATTCTATAATTTCTGCAGAAGACATTGTTAATGGTTAAGACCATAAATACATAAATTATTACACATTTTTATTTGTGATGTAGATATTTATGGGTAACATGTATGCTATTCTTTTATTCATTTCAGGTGATGTTGCTGTAAGGCAAAAATAGTATGAATTAGATTCTTCTGTTCCTGTTCCTAAAAGCAAAAAAAATTCTTGAGAAGAAGGAAATCCAGGTACTTCAGATCAGGTCTGATTATACAGGGTTGTCCCTTAAAATTGAAATTTAACATATTTCTAAAGTAACGTAAAACAGAGCAATACGTTTTTGACGTAATTCATTGTGATGTAGGCAAGTTATGTCATACAAAATGGATTAAATCTTTTACCGAATCAAATGACGTGTTACAAATATAATTAGATTATAAACATATAGATCTATATGATGCAGATTGACCTAGGATTAGATTTTGAAATTAAAAAGTTGCATTGTTTTCTTCTTTTTTCTTTTCAAAACAGTCATTCCTTCAACACAGTGACACATTACCATTTTTTTTTTTATTTCTTTCAGAAATGATCAGGAATATGGTGACAGGTCAGAGTTGGAAAAATAGTAGAGCCTCTTGTTGTTAGTAAAGCAGCCCGCCAAACCACCATGAAAGAGACTGAAATGACTACTGCACAGATAACATTTTGAGCTGGACAATCGGTGAATTGAGCTGTAGAAACCAAGTGACAGAAAACATATCTTTTAGGCCAGGAAAAATCAATCTTTAGATATTCAAAATAATGTCAGGCACTTTAATTTATAACTCACCTGAACCTGAATGCTGTAAATGATTAATCACAAGCACCCCTCCTTCATAAGTTGATAGTGATAGATATCAATATGGTAATTACAAATTCTTTGATCTGAAGGTTTATTTTTCTTAGCCTAAGACCATTTAAGTGAACATTGGTACATTTTTGGGGGAACTCATTGTAAAGCATTTTTTTGGGTGTAAAAAGAAAGAACTTAAACGTCTCAATAAAGATTATTAAAAGTATTTCAGTTTTTTTTTTCCTCAAATTATTTTCCCTTGTCTTTAAATATATTATTCTGATATCTGTATTACAGTATAATCCCTATTAACCGCCCCTACCCCTATTAGCACCCCTTTAGGACTTTTTAAATTGTCAGGAAATAAGGGCCCCCTGAACAGTGATGAAAATCATCTAGAATCATATCAGAAAATTGAAGAAAGTGAAAATGAAACTAATGTCTATCATCCAATTTGTCAGTGGAAAATGAATAATTTAGCATAATATGGGTGGATTATCTTCACTTTAAGTAAAATTAGACATTATTTTAGTGGTTCCTTGTATTTGATTTTTTTTTTCAAAAGATTTTTTGAAGTTAAAATAGGACATTAAATATCAAAAAGAGAAAACAAAAATAACCACCCCCTTTTTGCAATTTTCTAAGTGCCCGGGGCGGATAATAGGGATTATACGGTAGTATAGAAGATACATGAGATAGGCTTTTCGTCTGAAAGGTACCATTTGCTAGTATTATTGAATAATGGAAAAGAAGTACTAATTTATTGCTTTAATTTGCTGAGTTTGCATAGACTGTTCTCCAACTTGTATCTTGCAAGTAAATTTAAAAACAAATAAGGATAAGTGTGTTTGATTTTTAATGATTCAATATGAATCTCATTCCATTTACAGAATCACCTAATCAACTTAATATCCCAACATTACAAAAACATTAAGATTCTCATTGGAAAGGGTTGGTTTTAAACCTAATTTCATAAAGCAAAAAAACCGCACTTGAATACAATAAATATTTAAAAAGTTATAGATTTTTAAAAAAAAATCCATCAAATGCCATGTTTAGGACTTACAAAATTTTCAGCTGACTTCTGAAGGCAGAAAAATGACTAAGTCTTTAAAGACAATTTGTCCAGGCTTTTCCGGCCTGTAAAATTTCTAAGTTCAATTATTATGATAAAGTTAGAGTGTTCAAAAATTCTAAGTCCAGCTTTCCAGTAATTTTACACCCATTTTCCATGATGTCCATGTTGTACATGTACTGTCCATGTACACTGTACATGGAAGTCCAGTCTGTTCTGTCCATGCTTCCCGGACTATGTCTAGGGTTTCCAGGCTTTTTCATGGAATTTCCATGGAAAAGCCTGGAATCCATGGATAATTGAGACTTGTCCATGGAAGTTCTACAGCCGAACTCAGTCAATTACTTTTTACATTAAACATTAAACCTTTTTACATATTTGTCAGCCCGTCTGTCCATCTGTCACGAGAACTTTAAACTTGATAATAACTATTGAATTAGTTGAAATAGGACTTTGATATTTCACATATGCATTATTTGTGACATCTGATTTTCATGACCTAGATCTGGGAGCTTGACCCACTTAAAAAAAAAGAACATTACTTTAAATTGACCATAACTTTTGAAAACTTCCATTTTATAAAAATATGACAACAACTTTTAAAATTCACTCATTTTTTACCCTTTGACCTGCTTTTCAAAAACATTAACAATACTCATATCTTTTGAATGAGAAGAGATAGGGCTTTTATTTTATCCCTGTAAATTACCTATGACAAATCTTTTCTAAACATACCCTGACTTTTGACAACTTGACCTTGAGGCCTGATCATAACTTTTAATGAGGAGAAATAGGGCTTTCATATCACACAAACATCACAATGTAACCTGTGATAAAATCATATCAAATACTAGTACATGTATATCATGAACTTTGACCTTGAAGTTTATCCGGCTTTTCCAAAATTTAAACATTGCTTAAAATTGACCATAACTTTTTACACATATATATATAAGCTGTGAAAAGGCCTATCTTAAAAAAATGTGTGGCTTAAATCATGGAGAGTGTGTTACGGCCTTGAATCAAGGTCATTTAGGATAAGATAATTTGACTGGATGCATTGTTTGAAAAAAAAACGTGTGAATTTGTCAATACAGTACCACACAAATGGGATATACTCATCACCAGCTTGTGTCATGGTGTGATCCAAGGTCATTTTGACAAGGTCAAGGTCGCAAACATTCCTTTACTATTATTCTTTAAATAGCAGTCTATGCGAAAGTTTTTCAACCACACAGGACATTCGGTCCTATGTAGCCAATCAACACACAGGACCGAATCAAATTTTGTCAGACCGAAAAACCTAATGTAAACAAACGAAACACACGAAAATTAGTGATGGAAAATGATTACCAGTTATAATCGATTAATAATCATAGAAGTTAAACTTATTAAACTTATTCAAATTTCAGTCAGGTTTTTACAAAATAAAATCATTTACGTAATTACATATAATATTCAAAAATGTTTATTAAAAAAGTGGAAAATAATATTTCATTACTTTACACAAAATCAATATATTGAAACAGAATGGGAAAATATTTCTTTAAAAATTCCAGTCAATGGGTATATTACTGATATTAGTCCCACCTTTCATTACATTTATTTATTTCTTGGGATTACAAGTTTTAAAGTAGTTATCCAGACTATACCCGGTACTTGTTATTCTTGATTAAAGTAATGATTACTACATATTGTCTACACTTAAAAAATGTTTTCCTTTGTGTAGTAAAACATCGTATTATTGTCCGTTTCCTGTTAATCACTATGTACTTAGTTAGTTTATTTGATACCTAGGAGCAGAGAAGAAGATTTTGAAAGAATTCATGTATTTTCACTTTATGAACAATAACATGTTTAAGCCAGATGCTATATGGCATTCACAATTTTGAAAGAGCACCATTGATCATCATAACAATGAAAGAAAAAGTGAGCTAGCTCACATACCCCACGCTCCCCCATAACTTGATGGTGAAACACATAATGAAAGGCACAGTGCACATTAAATACATAGTAAAGATCAAAAAGGGCAATAATTGCAAAAAATCTTCACATCAAAATGTCTTGCATATGAGGACATTTAAATGTGGAATGAAGTTTCCAGATAAATTATGGAATTAAAATTTCTTGACAATATACAAATACACACATTTATTTGAAGTGTGTGTGTGTGTGGGGGGGGGGGGGGGGGTATTGAGAAATTTTCTTGAATAATAGGCAAAACTCTATGGGATAAAATAATGGAATATGTCCCAAATATCAGCATAGGTTGACAAAACTATGTACAACAGTTTAAGAGGAGTGGTGCTAACAAACTGTTCATCTCTATATTCAAAATATGACAAAAAAGTCTAAGTTGGAAAGTGTGGAAATTTCTGGAAAAATAAAGGAATCGGAATTTCCTGGTAATATGCACATCTACACATTGTGTCCTAAATAACCACAAAGTTTGACGAAATTCTGTGCAGCGGTTTATGAGTAGTTGTGCTGACAAACTGTTCATCTCAAAATTCAAGGTATGGCCAAATTCCTAAGTTAAAAGTGCGGAAATTCCCGGAAAAATATAGGAATCAAAATTTCCTGGTAATATGCACATTTACATATTGTGTTCTAAATATCTGTAAAGTTTGACGAAATTCTGTGCAGCCGTTTATGAAGAGTTGCGCTGACAAACTGTTCATCTCTATATTCAAGGTATGGCCAAATTCCTAAATTAAAAGTGCGGAAATTCCAGTAAAAAATAATGGAATCGGAATTTCCTGGTAATATGCACATCTACACATTGTGTCCTAAATACCTGCAAAGTTTGACGAAATTCTGTGCAGCCGTTAATGAGGTGTTGCGCTGACAAACTGTTCAACTCTATATTCAATATATGGCCAAATGCCTAAGTTAAAATTGCGGAAATTCCCAGAAAAAATAAGGAATCAGGATTTCCTGGTAATATGCACATCTACACATTGTGTCCTTAATACCTGCAAAGTTTGACGAAATTCTGTGCAGCCGTTTATGAGTAGTTGTGCTGACAAACTGTTCATCTCTATATTCAAGGTATGGCCAAATGCCTAAGTTAAAAGTGCGGAAATTCCTGGAAAAATAACGGAATCAAAATTTCCTGGTAATATGCACATCTACACATTGTGTCCTAAATACCTGCAAAGTTTGACGAAATTCTGTGCAGCCATTTATGAGGAGTTGTGCTGACAAACTGTTCATCTCTATATTCAAGGTATGGCCAAATGCCTAAGTTTTCCTGGTAAAAATCTACACATTGTGTCCTAAATACCTGCAAAGTTTGACGAAATTCTGTGCAGTCGTTTATGAAACAAACTGTTCATCTCTATATTCAAGGTATGGCCAAATGCCTAAGTTAAAAAGTGCGGAATTTAATGGAATCCCTGGTAATATGCACATCTACACATTGTGTCCTAAATACCTGCAAAGTTTGACGAAATTCTGTGCAGCCATTTATGAGGAGTTGCGCTGACAAAAAATGAGGACTGACTGACTGACGGACTGACTGACTGACTGACTGACTGACGGACCAGTCAAAAACATTATACCTCCCGCAACTAGTTGCGTGGGGTATAATAAACTTAACAGTCGCTTACCTTGGTTACTGAATACCCATATGCAAGGTAGGGGAACAAAAATGCACTCCAACTAATCAGTTATATTCATCAATAATCAGTAGTGCCCCTAAAACTCTGACATAAACCCCTGACCCTAGGTTGCACAAATTTTTAAAAGGCACCCTTAAAATTGCCTATCAAAAAGTAAATAAATGTTTTATAAATACAAAGGACCAGATAGCAAACAATTAATTCATTTCCAGTATATACCGTATATACTCGCGTATAAGTCGGTCCGCCTATAAGTTGGTTGTATTTTTTGACGCTATTTAGGTAGGATTTGTTATTGACCCGCTTATAAGTCGGTGCAATTTTCCCCCCAAATCTGATGACAATTTGATGTTTGATGTTGATCCATTGATGTTTTTACCTGGTTTCTATTATTATTTTTTTCGAAATGACACTGATATTTAATCTTTAATTATTAAACATAAAGGCAATGTCACTTAAAATACAAATAAAATTATTGAAATATGTAAATACTTGCACTTGTACTTTATATGTATGAGCTAAGTAAAC